AAAACGTATTTTTAAATAATTTTTCTTAAGAGATGATGATGGCAATGTTACTAGCAGAAAAGATGTGATTTTGGAAAGTGTTTATTAGATTAAAGTGAACATTGTGGAGGATTTATTTCTACCTACGTTTCTGGCAGTAATCATATATTACGTTAGATTTATTTACCGGCACCTAATGTGGAGGCGTTTAGAATGTACTCACGTGGTAATACGGACTTTGTCTCGCTGTTCTGTTTTTCAGGCTGTTAATCAAGCCGGAGCAGGACCGTACAGTGAGCTTGTCCTTTGCCAGACGCCAGCAACGGCCCCTGACCCTGTCTCCACTCTGTGTGTCCTGGAGGAGGAGACCCTCAATGCCTATCCTGATTCGCCTTCTGTGTGCCTTGTACTGAACTGGGAAGAGCCGTGCAATAATGGATCTGAAATCCTTGCTTACAAGATCGATCTTGGAGACACTAGCATCACCGTGGGCAATACCACCACCCATGTTATAAAAGATCTCCTTCCAGAAACCACCTACCGGTAAGTGCAGGAAGGTAGAAATCAAAGCTGCATCGACACCTCTGCACTGGAGGCCACAGACCCTTCAGGTCCTAAAGGCCAGAAGGGTGCAATCCAGTCATTCTTAATATATTTCAGAATACTAAAGGCAAATACAGCTTAAAAACTTGTACTGCTTTTTACTTAAAGAATTGGTTACAAGAGGAGGGGAGGGTATAGCTCAGTGGTAGAGTGAGCACTTAGCATGCACGAGGTCCTGGGCTCAATTCCCAGGGCCTCCATTAAAATAAAGAGTCGGTTACAAATTGATATAATTCCTACCCCTTGAAGGGACATTTCACTTATCATTTTAAATCAGTTCCTCCCTCATGGTCTTTTGATAAACTACTTTTTTTGGTATTTTTACTGTGACTCATTGCCCTGTGAACACCTTCTGTTCCAACCATGGACTTGCCCACATCTGAAGCAGGCTCTGCCATTCTTCTGAATCTCCAAAGCAGACACCATATTACAAAGCATTTGTGATGTAGCTTTTACTTGACATTTTACAAGGGAGGAGAGAAAAGAAGTTACATCAGACTCCACCCAGCAAAACTCAGTTACCATCTGCATTCTTCCTTTCCCCCAGAGTTCCCATCTCGGAGCCAGCCGCCTCTCCTTCCTCTTCTCATACTCCTTTTTCTCAACATGGCCTCTTAAGATTTCAAGTCACTTAGCTCTGTCCCCAAGATGCCATAGCATGGGGACAAAAACAAGAACAAGAAGTTTATGAGTAGTGTTGGACAAGTACAGGAACTTTCTGGTTACTCCGGTGTGCCCTACCAGGGTGTCTCCCTTTGTCAGATTAAATGGCTTCTCAAGGAGGGGAAGTAGAGCATGGATTCAGGCACAGGTCCTTAGCTGTGTCTTTAGGCAAGTTACCTAAGTTCTCTGGGTCTCAGCTTCTTCCACAAAATGAGGAGAACAGTATTACTTACCTCATAAGCATGTTATAAGTAGTAAATGAATATTAAATGTTGAATCCGGAAGTACATAGCAAATGCACAGTCAACATGCATTGTAATTCTCCTCCTCATCAAGATCTTCAGCCAGGAAAACTGGTTCTTGGGGTAGAGGGGGAATGAAGGGCAGGCAGGTAAACTTGCTGCTAAAGGGGGTCTTATCATTTTACTTATCTTTTTTCTGCATGTTTTCTAATGTTGTAGTCTGATAGACTACCCTTTTTATCCCCAGAAGCTGAAGAAGGAAATCAGCTAAGCAGCCGGAAGATACAAAAGTTCCATCCTGCCTTAACATACTATCTCTGCTCTTTCTCTCTCCTACCACATATTTTATGAATAATTCATATAAATGTATTCATTTTGCTTTTCAGAACAGTGACAGTTACTTGTTTACGCTTTCCTTCTTTTAAGAAAACCCTTTTGGGCACAATCCTGTGTGCCGTGGGTCTATAAAATAGTGATGTACACTATCCTTGCCCTCAGAGCAGTCAGAGTTGGGGAACACTTAAACAGCAATGTAAGACAGTAGGTGATGGTGGTATCACAGGCTGAAGATAACCCTATACAGAGCCCTGTTGGTGTTTCAGAGAGGAAGACCCGGGGTTGAGAATGGTCGAGATGGTTTGCAGTGGGACTCGAGATAGAAACTAAATAAAGGAGGTGTAACTTACATGGATAACGAGGCAGGCCAAGGGCGTCTTTTCACTTCTAGCTGGTCTCAGAAAACCAGTCTCTTCTTTCATTTCCTGACCAAGTACTCAGTGTCCAGAGCACTGTAATCAAGTGCTGAGGAAATCCAGAGGTGACTAAACCCAGGCCTTGGCCTCAGAGACTTTCCCTAGTGATGATGCGCTAAGGAGACCTGACCTGACAAGAAGATAACAGGTGTATCTCTGGGGGAAAATGACCAAGTTAGTGTCAGTCCCTAGCTGCTTCTGAGAGACCACATGTCTGGAATATTGCCTGACTTGGATCCCTCAGGCTAGAAAACCAGTTACGAGGCCACTGGTTCAGGACTCACCGAAAGATTTAGTGTCCAGTGTGCTCCACACCCATGTCTGCACCACAGTGGACTCAAATCCTCAAGTCAGGCCTTTGAGCACTCGGGTCAGAAATCATAAAAGGGCTTTTAGGGTAAGATGTTAGCCCAAGAATTTTGCTTCTTCCTGACACATGTACCTTAAAGGTGGCTTAAATGATTATAAAGGTTTAAGGTCTGTAGAAGGTGGATGTGGGAGGAATGCTGTTTATTAGTCAGTGTACAGTCAAATGGCTGCAGGAAAGGAATCAAGAACGCAAAGGCTCAGGTGAGGGAACGGAAGAAGGGGGTCCTTGCTCAACCATGAAATGCCAGTTGCGGTGGAAATTATCAAGAATATCTTCCACATAAGTGGTTGATTTAAAGACATGTTTAAAAGTACTTCAGAGGATAATTCTGTTATGGAGATGAAGTGGTTTAGTGATGTAGCAACTATAGAATAATGAAGTTAGACTTCGATAGTGAAACCTCAGGAATCTATTTTGAAAGCATTCAACGGTGCAGCATAAGTAATTCAAGTCAGTGTTAATATGCAGTGTGTTCATATGCTGATGTATTGAGCCGGGTGTGGAGAGCCACCTTGGGAGGCTATCACCTCTTAACCTAGCAGGGTAGCTCGGAAGACACCATTGTAGACGGATTGCATGAAACATGTACAGCTTTAGAAATGACAGAGCTTGGCCCTGAGTCAGCTTGTGTGTTCTTGGCCATTTTATTCAAAGTCTTTGCTGGCCGATTAATAAATAAATTGGATGTTTCATATTTAATATATTAAAATTAATATCCCTGTGTAAAATCATCCTTTGTCCAACTTAAGGAATCTTGTTTCTGTAGCACCTAGTTGGATACTCTATAGTAGAACTCTGGTCAACCCACCTTCTCGTTCTTTTATGTTTCAAAAACACAATTGCAGTAATTGTAGTGAAATACAGAATGAGTATTTCAAGGAACTGAGGGTATAATTTTGGGTCAATCAACTTTTACCTCACCTTTTTGTGTCCCATAAATTGGTTAAAATATAAGTGAACAGATCATGATGTTCTAGATAAAAATGCAGAATAAACATTTTAAGCAGACTATGGGGCTTGGATAAAAAAGGACTTGTTTCTTTTGTTTGTTTTTTTAAACCTTCAGCAGTTACACATTGTTCTCACACTGAATTCATTCTTTCTCTGTCTTGCTGGGACAGAAATGTGCACCTCTCTAGCACACCTGCTGACACAAAAATGGGTCCTTCCCTTCTTTCTCCAGCGGTGCTTGCCAGACCACCCACAGCTTACTGACACCCTGTATAGAATTTGGTTGGAATTACAGTGCTATTTTTAAAGCATTACTTTTAAGCTTAGAACTGAGTTTAAAATTGAGTCTGTGTTTTGGTTTGAGGAGGGGAAAAAAAAAAAGACAGAGACGTAACTTTCCTTTTTGCATGCTTCCAGCCACACAGAGCCCCCCAAAAAGCCTATTTGTGAGCTGAGAGAGTCAAGATTGCCTGGTGTCATCCCTTCCCAGTGCCCTGATGTGGGCATCTCCAGTGATGTAGCAGTAGTTTCAGTTCCTGCTCACCAGCCAGTCCATTCCATTTGTGTACAACTCTGCTTCTAAAGAGTTTCCCTTATTTTGGCTAAAAATTTACTCAATTGATCCTGGAGCTTCCTCTAGAGCAGTGATTCCCAAAGTGTGGTTCCTGGACCAGCAGCAGCACGACCACCCAGAAACTTGTTAAAATGCAATTTGCCAGGCCCTCTTGGAGATCTACTGAGTCCGCAGCTCTAGGGGTGGGGCCTGACGCTCTGTGCTTTAAGTAGCCCTGCAGAAGATTTTGATGTATGTTAGAGTTTGAGAACCTCTGCCCTAGAGCAATGATTCTTGAATCTGTGCAGGAATCACCTGGAAGCTTTTGCAAAATACAGAAGTTTGAGCCCTACTCCTGGGGCCTAGACTAAGTAAGCCTCATCTTATAATGGCATCTGTTCCCTACTTAGCCATCCTCACTTCATTCACATCTGTCATCACTGGCATGGGTTTTCTAAAACCCCCTCCATCCTCATCATCAGGTGATTTCTGTTCCTTGATGGCCTCTTTAATGAGTAGTGCCCTGGTCTGCAGGAATGGTCTGGCTGGCCGGCTCAGAGCAAGACTGTCACCTTCCTCATTCTCCATATTGAACAGTTAGTGAGGTTGCATAAGATTTTTTTTTTTGGCAACCTCATTATCCTAAGCTGGCAGACAACTAAAATTTAAGTAGATTTGCTTGCTGTGTTCGTTTGTGCTCTTTTTGCTAGGTAAAATGGGATGAAAATAATGTTGGTTGAGTCCTTACTGTATGTCACAAGCACTACATTAGCCTGGCAAGTAGTGAATCATAAATCATTTCATCCTAACAGGATGAAGTGGACTTTATAAGGAAGAAAGTTCTGAGTAGTTCAAAAGTAGTGGACCAGAGTCGGACAGCCTTGACATCGATCCTGGGTCCCTCACTTATTGCCTCTGTGACCTCTGGGAAATAATTTAAGCTCTCTGTGCTTCAGTTTTCTGATCTGTAAAATGAGGATACTTGCTTTAACTACCTAAAGGGTTGTTGTGCGTTTGAGACTTCAGGCACCTTGTGTGGGACCTGACACATACCATGTAAGCACTCAATAAATTATCTGTTGCCAGTGTTTGGTAAGGAAGAAGTGAGCTAGCAGGTGGGTTGTGACCAGATTAGCGGTGGAACTGTGTGTGGAAATCTGGCATTATCCTTTACCCCAAGGGAGACATTTAAGGTTGCTTTCCTGTCAAGGCAGGGCACCAAAAAATGCAAGTACGTGCCTGGAGACTGGATGGTGGCACGGAGATATGAGAAGCTGTCAGAAGTAGCTTGGTTGAACAGAGGGATGAATCTGAGCCAGCAAAGTTACCTTTCCAGGGAGCCTTCTCTGAATAATTTTAAACACATCTTTTCCCCCAAAGAGGGGGAAAGATTAAACTACTGTTTAATA